CCAGGTGCATTCTCTTACCTTCACCCTACTCCACCCCCTTACTGCCTTCTCTCCTGAGTCACCCAATGAACTTCAAGCCAAGCGGTTCTTTCCCGAATAAGTGAGAAGGAGACAGGAGGTGAAGAGTTAGACATCGAAGAGATCACAGGCCTAATCTGGGAAAAGGACCCCCCCCCAGGTCCAGGGACTTCAAACCTCACGGTCACCCATAATTACCCATCGTAACAGGGCAGGAGTGCCACACAAAACTGCCATCGTTGTTGGCCATGGTCAAAACCTTCCCCTCTGCCCCATATGCTGAACTCCTACCAATCAGAGACATGGCCCCAACAGTAACAATAGGAACAAACAAAGAGAATCATGGCATCATAAGGTCCGGTTGATATAGCAATGGGACAACGGGCCTCTGAATAATGCAAAAGTACATTTAGGAGTAACTGGACAATATGAAATAGTCCTCCTGAGCTAATGACACGTGGTAAAGGAGTCGTGGGGCTATGATTCTTTCTGCATTTTAGCATCTGACCAAAAGTTCTATGTGACATGACGTGAGTTTAACTTAGATGGTTCAAAAACGTGACAGGCAACTAACAAACACTCTGCAGAAGAAAGATGAAGCGGTGCAGAGTTCATGAACTGCCAGGACATCCAAGGCAAGTGACATTCTGAACCTGCACATATTCCCCACCCCCCACAGTAATATCTAGGTGTCTAATTTTTAGTGTCCGAAAGAATCATAGGAATTCTGCAGGAAGATTCGTTCCTAAAAAAGTGATGAGAGTTCTGTGGAAGGGAGTAACTGAAAGTGACAGGCTACTCCAGATTAAAGTCCAGGAAAACTTGCTTCTGCTCCTCCAGGAAGGGCTTAATAACTCACAAGAAGAGGCACACTGACCCTTCCTTCACAATCCCAGGAGATAGGACAGCGTGTAGCTGTAGAAATCAAGGCTTGCGTTCCTGTTCATCCACTAGGCATTTGGGGCCATGCTCAACCTATAAAGTCAAGGGAATATTAATACAGCACTAATTATGGCTGAAGAGGCTAGAAATTCAGGTTGGCAGGAAATTTACTAAGCCAGGGGCCAGCCATGCATTGCAGAGTTTGTTATACCAAACACCTGCCCGTTCCTTCCCTTCAGATTCCCAACACACAGCAGAAGCTGGTTGGGGATGAGGCCAGGAAATGACAGAAAGGGAACTCTCTTACCTGGCTGCTCCATACTCAGGGGGATGCTGATACCTCATCAGTTGCCCCTCTGTTCTCCCTGGCTGGTTCAGACGATGCTCACTATAGAAGTGCCCTGGCTCTTGGGGCTTGCACACTACAGACTGGGGTGGCATGCCCTTGAAGGGATACTCTGGTGGGGGGCCTCGGTGTTCCATGCCCTTCAGGCTATGCTGGCTGGGAGGTGGCCCCTGGGCCTTGTAGAATTCACTGGAACTTGTGGGAGTCTTGTAGAGGTCACTGGGTTGTGGTGGGGAGAGGGGAGCGCTGGTGACAGGTGGATGGGCCTTAACTCCACTGGTGGCCAGTGACATCTGCATTAGTCGTTCACTTAAGGAGCGGACATGTCCTTGCTTAAGGTCTCTGAGTCCTTCATCCTGGTGCATCTTCCCAGGATTGAGCCGCTGCACCGATGGGCGTCCCTCGGTCCTCATCTTCTGGTTGGTGACTCCAGTGACATAGAAGGCAGCTCCAACACTGGCATGCTGTTGGCCCCGAAAGTACTGGGACTGGACCTTGGCTTCTTCATAGGTTGGGAGTTCTTCATTATTCTGCATTCTAGGGGAGAGCTGCTTCTCCATGATGATGTTTTCTGCCTGGATTTCCTGCCCCTGGGGTTCTTGTCGAGCAGCATGAGCCACAAGCTGTTGGTGGTGGTCTTGGGGACTCAACACATCATTCTGAGGGCCTGGGTTCCCACTGCTACTGGGGAAAGGAGGGCCATTCCCTGTGGCTTGCTGGTGTATGGCAAGCAGGTTGCGATTCTCATTAGGATTGCCATAGCGAAGCTGCTCTTGTAGCAGACGCTGCAACACTGTGGTTCCTCCACTTGGCTGTTCTTCAGAATTTCTCATCTCTATTGCTGGTGGTGCCTTGTGAAGAGAGAGAGAAATTGGGCACCTGGGCTGCCCTTGACCTGGGAAGGGGAAACAGGAAGCTTAACACCCAGTTGATGGATAAATCATTCCTCTAAAGGGGAAGAAAATGGGTATTTGGGGGTGAGGATTCCACTCCAGAGACAAAGGAGAGAATTGAATCTAGAATTAATAGGTTAATTGTTGGTGACTCCTGGCTCTAGCATTGATATGATGAGGAACTTGGGGGCATAAGAGCTCTCACTGCTTCCTCTTTCGCTTTTGGCATGGGTTAAATATCCAATCTTGACTTAACTTCTAAGAGAACTGGGGAGACCTGGAACAGTCAGGTAGGATGACCAGAGGGGGCAATTCTCCTAGGTCCTTACTCAGAAGGTTCATCTCTCTGTATTCTATTTAAATGAAAAATCCAACTCTTATGGTCGTGACACTGGGGGCAGGCCAGTAGGGAGACTTTACCCCACAGGCAGGATCTGTAAAGCAGGTCATCATGTGAAGGGAGTTACAAAAAGCCAAATAATAACTAAAATAAATAAGAGGTGAAGAGAGCTTGGCTTGCACTGAGTAGAAATGATCCCCGCTTGATGCAAATCATTTTCTCTGATCTGATAAAACTCTAAAACATAGCTTTTTTTTTTTTAAATCCTTTTTGTATTGTCCATTTTGGATTCTCCTTGGCTTAATAAGAGAAGGGCTTGAGATAACTGCTATTGACAAAGTTTCTCTTTCAGCCATCCAGGAATAGTCATTGAGTTTTTTTTTTTTTTTTTTTTTTTTTTTTTTTTGCTGTTGTTGTTGGCTAGGAGGAGCTTAAATGGGAAGCCCTCTTTCATTTGAAGTGTGCATCTGACAGCATTTAGAAATTGAAAAAGAAAAAAGGTCATCCTTCTAGAAAGGGTACGAATACCGTATCCCTCCCCCTCCACCACCACCACCACCACTAATTCTTCTTAGGGAAGAAATACGGGTTGAGCGAAACAGGTATTGGTAGTAAGACAACTCAAGATTCAAATTCTAATCATGATAATGGATTTATAGGGTAACCTAAGCAACTGATTCCTCTTTTCTTGTCTTCTGTTTTCCCACCTGAGAAACTAGTAGTAGGTGACATCTCTATTTCTCTCTCTCTCTCTCTCTCTCTCTCTCTGCAGGGTATAGGACACACAAATTCATCAGAGGCTCATAAACTCTTTGGACAAAATCTGTCATGTGAAGTACTGCAATTCAATACTCATGTTCAGTAATGAAAGTTTTACTCTAAGGATCTTAAGTGGTGTTGGAGCATGGGCATGATGTCACAGAAAAAGTCACAGTAAAGGTCAACCTAACCAGCCTCGGGTTCTTAGATGAGAACTCTGTAATCCTGGCTCCCAGGCTCTGATTTCTATGATATCAAACAGCCTCCAATCTCTCTGGAAACATGATCCCTTTCCTTTAGTCATGCAGGGAATGGCCAGAAGATGTGTATGGTAGATAGAAAATGGTCATCTTCTCTTCTTTTTTGCACTTCTTGCATGATTACTGCTACCTGGTTTCCAATTGTTCTAAGGAGCAGTTTGACCCCACAGTTAACCTTCCAAAGGCCCCTTTTAAATCCCTTTCATCATATTCTCTGGGGAAAGGGTGCACCAAAGGGCTGAGCAGCCTGCCCTTTCCCTCCCTCCCTCCCAGTGACCATCTGGGACTCCTGGATTTAAACTGTCAGACTGGGATTTTCTGATAGGCTGACAAACATAACATGTAAATCTCTTTTGGTGCCTTTAAACTGGGAAGATGACTACCAAGCTACCTTTCCTCTCTCAGAAAATGGAAACGGGAGCATGTATGGTTAAACAAAATCACTTGCAAACCCATCCTACAAGGCAGGGAAACCCAGACATTGAGCAGCCCCGGACCCTGAAAGTACACCACCCCCTCCCAGTCCACACCCGCCCCACCCTGCACACACACACACATGCTCACACACACACACAGGCGTGCACGTGTGTGTGTGCGCGCGCGTGCACACACACACACACACAGATGGTGCATACCTATTTCTGCTTTCTTTTAGGCTTAAAGCCTTGATCAGGATAGGGAATTCTTGCTTATGAGCAGCTCCAGAAACCGCAACGGCAGATTCCCTCTCCCCTAACACTCAGGTTCAGGGTAAGCGCCGCCAAGAGTCCAACCACTGGTCACTCTGAAATGTTCAGGAGGGGGAGGGAGGAAGAAATAAAAACGTCGTTTCTATTTTGCCACCAATGGCCAAAAGTTCACCAAACCAGTCCTTCCAAGGGAATGACTTCTCCTCCCTTATGTTTGCCTTTTATATGAGTGGCAGAATCCATTTCCATTAGGACAAAAAGAAACCTCACTACCAGCAGCTGTGTTCAGGAGGTCAGCCAGTTTCCAGAGGATGGAAATGTTCAGGTCTGGGACTGGAAAAGATTGCTCTGTTCTAGCCTCATGGCCCCCAAAAGCTGCTGCTTCCACTCTTGAGTTGGAATGGTGGCTGAGGGCAAAAGACAGACCCAACGTCACCTGCAGGGTGTGACCTTGAAACTGCTATCAGCAGGGGGGCACATGAGTGAGGCTCATGGCCCCACATCCCAGGAGGGAAGGCTGTCATCAGAAGGCAGGTTTTTGATTTAAAAAAAAGGGGGGATACTCTGTGAAGCTCCCAATTTAACTGCCACAGCCTCAGATGGGCAGAGGAAAACCAAAACTTCTTTTCCATCAAATCATTAAGTACTTATTGCATGCTGGCTATTCCAGACGTTCGCCAGCCTCGGGCTAGACATAAGGAAGGATACAAAAGACACACATCTGGTTCCTGCCCTCACAGAGCTTACAATCTGATTGCCGGCCCATCCATTCTTACTGGAGTAGCAAAGGTGATCACTCTTCCCAACACACAGCAGCAACTCTTCTCCAAGGACAAGATGCCTCCCGCCACTTGCTTTCTCAGCACTTCCATGGCCCCGGCATCTCCCCAGAAGTAAACTCCTAGGCTCACATTATAAGGGCTAGATGCAAATGCACACCACGTATGGATCTGCGATAGTCCTCATTTCTAATTACTGCGCTGGCCCTCTGATAAGCCCTGCAGGGCCAACCAAAATGATTATGAAACTGAGGAGTTTGTGTTTAGGTGAGATGCACATGATCCACATTCCTATTTTCTGTCCCAGCCTAGCCATGACTCACTCATGTCACTTAAAAGAAAGGCTTTAATCCACATCAGAGATGCCATTTGAAGAGCAAGGCAATGCAAAGGAAGCGCACAGCGTCTCTGTATTTTGGGAGCCTGTCCAAAACATCCAAGTTAAAAAAAAAATCCACAAAACCACACAGTGATTAATTTAACATTATTTCCTTGCAATGTTGCCAAAAATAAAGTGAAGAGATACAGAGTGAGCAAACACGGAAATTTGTCTTTCAATCTTGTTTGGGCCCAACATATAATCACAATCAAAAGCAAAATCATCTCCAATCTGCAAGGTAATTATTTTAGGGGGTCTTCCCTAATTTCAAAGCAGAGGAACAACTTCTAGTTGGAATCAAAGCTGAACTATTAACAGAGTGTGGTAAATAACCACCGTGCTTCTATTGTGCGATTCTGAACAAAACAGTTGTCTTTTTTTTTTTTTTTCAACCAAAACATGCAGAAAACAGCCTGAGGCCTTTAAACTTGAGCCCCTGGCGAGAAAGCACCATACAATTATTTTCCAGGACGATTTCGATTCTTCATGCCGATTTTGACTGGCTTGCTCCTCATACCTAGCTTCTCACAAAGAAAACTTTCCTTGTCCAAAATCTTACTCTCTTCCCTTAATTTTGTCCCCTCTCGTCCATATCCTTTTCAAAACCCAAATCACTTTATGTCAACCGGACACAGATTGTCCCTCCCCACCACCCCGCCCCCTGGCCTTTTTTGTTTCTGTCTAAAAGAGGAAAAGAAATCAGCCTAAGAAAAAAAACTGGGCTGATTCCTCTCCAGTGTACTGATTTTTTTTTTCTTCAAGAACTTATGTTCGTCTACATGTTAAGAGTCACATAAGAAGAAAAACACTACTCCATTTATTTATTAGAGAAAGGAAGGGAAAAGATTCCTTGTCTCATGTGCAAGAACTAAAATAGTATGAACTCTGCAACCTTCAATCTGCCCGCAGCTTTAATCACGCCACTGCCAGGGTTCTGACGTCATCTTCAATCAATAAAATAACCTTGTTTCTCCTGGACAAACAGACTGTCCCCGAGGATATTTGATACGGGAAGAAAGGCTTTCCAATGGTTCTCTCTTTAAAAATACAATTTGAATCTATATATTCAACTCTGCTGTAACAACAACAGGGCAGCAAGGCCAAGCTAAATTCTTTACTGTATCTGCAGTCATCGGCCTCTCCCAGTATACCTCGGTCAAACCCAGTTCTGGTTGAACCAAAACACATGAGTGAGAGCCCAGATGTTTCTCAAGCCACGTCCCAGAAAAAGCAACATTACAAGGTGGCCAGGGCAGACCGAATTCCTACCCTTCAAATAAATTTTGAAATATGCCTGTAAGATCTTCTTTCTAGCCCTTCTATCTCCTCTTCCTATCCTTCCCCCAACCCTCACTCCACCAACCAAGATGAAGAACCTAAGTCTAGGAAACCTGTTTCTCTGCTAAATCTCAGTCAACTTGTTCTGGACAGTTTTACTTTGAGCTAAATGGAAAGGAGCCAGTTCAAAGTTTCCCCTATGTCTATATATCTACGTGCATATATTTGTGCAGAAAACACACACACACACACACACACACACACACACACACACGCAAAACCTCCCACACAAAGAGAGAGGCAAAAAAGCCCTCTGAATTCTCTCGTGTCTTCTCAGGTTGGTCCAGGTTTTGGCTGAAGTGTCCTAGAGAACACCTTGCCCAACAGTCTTGCAACCCAGGATACTAATTCATTTCCTCTGGGAGGTAAGAAATAATAATCCCTTTGCAGGTTATCTCTAACCTTTCAATGCAGGACGGGCAGAG